GGGAGGGACGAAGATCTATTTTTGAAAGTGTGAAAGGGAAAAATAAGCCAAACGAGTTCAGCAGATGTCAGGCAGCACTGTGACCACGATCCCATGAGGGGACAGGGAGCAGGACAAGAAAAACTGGGGAGGGACGAGGTGGACAATTAAAAGTGTCAAGCCCTCTCTTTTACTTGTCATTCTGGGAAGCTTTGGCACACCAAGCCTTCCCCCTGTGAATGACTGCCAAAGCCAGGCATATGGAAGACAAGCATTCCCCCACAGGAGAGACTGACTGTAGACAGTTGTCCCTCATCTACTCCTCTTCAAGTGAAAGCCAGGAGCCCAGGGCTTACCAATATCTACCACCCTGGGAGACAAACCATCAGGGGGTTTTGAGAATGAGTTCCACAGCAGTGACCATCTCCCTTTTGCCAAGTTCACAATTTACCTAGGCAAATAATTCTAAGCTGGGTCATAAAGTAAAATAAGAGTGTTAGACTAGCTGATTTCTAAAGTCCTTTCCAAATCTCAAAAATCCTATGATCCTAAGGTCTCCTACCATGGTGCAGATGTCTTCAGAACCTTGTTAAAGCTAGAAAAAGAAATCTTGTGAGGACCATTAGAATATGTTTCTGGAGGGTGGGGACTATTCCATTTTTGTCTCTGTGTTCCTATTGCCTGCAGCTCAGGGACTGGAACACAGCAAATCAATAAGTGACTGTTCACTTAGTGATTGATAACAAGGTTTTGTTTTTCTTCCCTTTGTGACTCTGCAATTCTCCAGATAGTGAATCAGATTGAGATAGAACTCAGTGAGCTAGAAAGATAAAATAGCAACATGGTATATTGGCTATTCTATAGTTACCTATGACCTCCATCTCAATCCTGACCAAAAGCTAGAGGCTTTGGTGTTCTGGTTTTATTCTACATTCTCCTAAAGAAAGGATAGGGGATTTAGAAAGGCTCTGGAGGTCTCTATAAGGCTTGCTGGCCTTGAGCTGGATAATTATCCTGAGCTACCTCAGCATTTCTATCTCTTTGCTAACATACCCTAGGTTGTGAACATATTGTCCTCCAGCTATCAGAACATAATTTCTGGTCAGAAAAATGGACCATTTAATTTATAGGAAAGATAAGAGGACAAGAAAAACTTCAGAGGTTTTTTCCCATCGTTATACTCCACCCCTTCCCATTTTGGTCCAAGTGGCGAGGTTATATCTTAACTGCAAATGTAGCACTTCGAGGCAAGAGGTTAAGCAGTGGGGACAGGAGTTAGGGACAATGAGTTCTAGTTCTGATGTTGCTGAGGATTTGCCATGGAACTTTGGGCAAGTCTTCAGCGCCCAACTCTAGAAAATGGGAGAAATGACTATGAGCTACCACCCCACAGAAGTGTCATGAACAATACCCAAGGAAAACATCTCCTGATTACTGTGAAAAATCAGATAAGTAACTAGGTATTTAGTACGAGTAGTAAGCGTGTCTCCAGTCCCCATCATACACAAAGATCCTAATGCTTCACTGTCTTTCCACCATTCTTCCTTCCTTCGCACTTCCTTTATATCTGACCTGGGAGATCAATCTGGGGTTATATTCCCTGCCTTCATTACACCAGTGCTTTGCCAACATTGGAAATCAGTAGCGTTAGAAAATTAGACAATAAGTCATGTAAACACCATATATAATATTGGGTAAGAATATGCCAGGCACAAATCAGCCATTCAGGAAAATGTGTTGATGCTTTTTAAAAAAATATGCTTTTTTATAAAATAATTACTTGAAAGATTGACTTCATCCTTCTGTCCTGGGACCTACTTCCTGTGCAAGATCTGGCCAATTCTATACTATCACTCGCTATGTATCTGAGAGAGGAACTACCCAAAAGGATGCTATGAGATTATTAGTGAAAAATACTATTGTTAATGTGAAGAAGTTAGGGATGGCATTTAAGGTTCATTGGCATTATGATGATGTCCTGACATAGCAACATGTCTCCCTCTCCTCTCTGCACTTTGAAAAGTTCAAGTCAGCCTTGCATCTGATGTCACCAACCTCCATGTGCTCTCCTTCCAGGCACTAAGTATTTCAAGAGGAAAGCCAGGAAAGTGAAGGGGTGCTAGTCAATGTACTAGCAAAAAATCTTAAAATGACCCTTCCTTTACATTATACAGGATGTACCAAAAGTCTTAACATAGTTTAAATCTTTGATAATAAAATAACTTAAAAGGGCACTGAGACTTTTGGGCCACCCTTCCTATATTGTTATCAATTTAAGTCTTATGTTCATGCTCAGGACACGCTCAGGGATGTGAGCTTTTGTTTTACTTCCCTGCTCATCTACTTCAACTTGACCCTAGGAGGGATTTCAGTCCCTGCTACCCACCCATTCTATTGTCCTCAGCTTTTTACCTGGCCTTGAATGCATGCGATTTGTGATCGTTTTGGATGAGATACACATATGTGTATAAAGACAGAGATACATATATGTGTATATCTATATCTATATGTATTATACATACAGAGAAACATAGTTTGCACACAGAGCTGGTATGATATAATGGAAAGAGCACAGGGCTTATAGTCAGAAGACTTGACCTTGAGTCCTGGCTCTAACCCCTACAAGCTGTGTGGCCTCGGCAAGTCACTTAACCTCCATCGACCCTTTTTCCTTATGCAAAAAATGAGGATCATAAGAATTAGAGTGAGAATGGGATCTTGGTCCACCCTCTTCTTTTCTAGATAATGTTATTACACTTGTCCCATCTTCATCAAAGGACGATTATGAGGATTTGGTGATATAATCTGTGTTAAGGGCTTTTTAGCATGAAATACTATGTTATTATTTGGGCCAATTTCAAAACACCTTATCAATTAATAAGGTCTTGGTACATATTGAGTTCCCCAGTTATACAGTGGTCCTAAAATCTACTCATTCTTTTTGAGTAATGGAAAAGCCAGATATGGTTTGAAAATATTGAGCGTATATGTATGATTTCCAAAAAGTATCTGAAAGACTTTTATGGTAAATAGCCAATGGAAAACCTGGGTTCTGAATAATGATTTTTGTCTTAATTATCGGACATGATTTTCCTCACTTATGCCAGGTAGTATACCTTTAGATGCCACCTCTGGGTGCAGAGGTAGTCACTAATAGGATTTTCCCTATGTGTGCATTTTATACATGGAAGACTGAAGCTCAAAACTCTGGCTGATGTCCAGAACAAAGGAAGGAAAATTAGGAAATCATTGAACACATGTCTGTTTAGCTTTCTGGGGATTATTCTTATTGGTTTAGGTGTGGGTTTATGAAAACCTATCTTCATATCAATCCTGACATTTTTCATCAGAGAGCTAAGTTCAGCAAATACACTTTCCTTCTCTAAACTTGTGAAAAAGCCTTGATTGCAGATAATCATCTATAGTCAAAAGCTGTGTTTGAGTTTGGCTATGTGAGTCTGGTTAAGTCAATTAACCTCTCTGAGCCTTGAGTTCCCTCAACTGCAAAAAGAAAAACAAAGGATCATGGGATTTAGAACTGGAAGGCTCGTTAGAACCTGAAATCAAGCAGAAATTATTGTTTAAGTCAAACATTAGCCTCAGAAATGGGAGAAAAAGAAGCATAATAGATTAATGGGCTACTTGTTCCTCCTTTGTTGCAAACAGATTTGGTTTGGTCATCAGCCGTCACATATTTACATTGATAGCCTAGGTATAGGCCCAAGTAGCTCAAGAAGTCACCTAAGAGAATATAGGCCTACTGTTCTCAGACCTGGTCTCTACTTTGTCCTTAATTAATTACTTTTGGCTGTGTGTGACACAGCAGCATGATTCATGTGGAATAGATTTAGTTCATAAGGAAAGTGATTCTTGTCTGCAGCCCTATCCTTCCCCCTCCTCCCAGCATTAATTAACAGTGGCTGCCAAGCAAAATGTGGAAAGGCTGATGTTCCCTCCACAAGAAAGGAAACTGCATACCATTGACTAGATCTGGTTCTCTCTCTCCCTCCCTCCCTCCCTCCCTCCCTCCCTCCCTCTCTCTCTCTCTCTCTCCCCCTCTCCCTCTCTCTCTCTCTCTCCCTCTCTCTCTCTCTCTCTCTCTCTCTCTCTCTCTCTCTCTCTCTCTCTCTCTCTCTCTCTCTCTCTCTCTCTCTTTCTCTCTCTCTTTCTCTCTTTCTCTCTCTCTTTCTCTCTCTCTTTCTCTCTCTCTCTCTCTTCTCTTTCTCTCTCTCTTTCTCTCTCTGTCTCTGTGTGTGTGTGCACGCACGCTTTCAGAAATTGCTCTTCTGGAATATTAGAGTTCTATGATGAAAATTTGGAGAGGAGCTCCTCCCATTCTTATGTACAAAACACCCCACATCATAACTATGCCCCATCATGAGAGCTCCCCGGGAACTAGATGAGAACTAAGAGTAGTAGAGGAGACTAACTTTAGATACATAGCCATCCCCATCAACTATGAAAGGAACTATGGTCAGGAAACCAGTCAGAATTAGCTTAGGTTTTTTTTGTTTTTTTTTTTCTTTTTATTCTAAAACATTTGTTTTTTTAATATGACAGTTGCCTTCCATACAGCACTCGGAGCCTCAACTACCTTGACATTATGCAGGTTCCTATTTGACCACAATAATACAAGAATCTCTTGGATTTGTAAATGGGGGTGGGGAGGTGGGCCAGGGAAAGTTTGCTCCAGTACGGTTGCAGGAGGGGAAACTGGCCAAGTCTTAATCATCTTTTCTGTGGAATCCTTTCCCCATTCTCTCCCTTTTCAGTGTTCATGAGTTCAAGAAGAGACTGCTGCTGACCTGACCCTCTCTCTTCTGCCCCAAACCCTGCTCCTGGGGCAACTAGTATTCTCCTGCAGAAAGCTGGGGGGGGGTGCCAATAAGATGAATGTCTCTGGAGAGGCTAACCCAGAAAGAAATTTCGGTCAGCCGCACCGGCAGCATGGGAACAACTGCAGTAAAGCATGTGGAAGTGGAGCAAGGGAGAGTGTGCCATTCATTCATTCATTCATTCACCTGTACGGAGAGGCTGTCCCCCAGGAAAGATAGTCGGTGGGTCTTGGAGCAGGACGAGGTACGATGGGCTGCTCCACAGCAGTCACATCCCCTGAGTAGGATTTGAGGAGGGAAGCATTTTTATTAGCCAGCATGGCTCTCTCATTCCTGCGAAACTTGGCTCTTCGGTTTTGAAACCACACCTGGAAGGAAGGTGACAGAGATAGGAAGACAGAGAGCAAGGGGGAAAAAATAGTTACACACATGAAGCTCTCCCTGGCTTACTCTTTCCTGCTTTCCTTTAAACACTGAGAGCTTGCAACTTTTCTCCTCCTCTTACCCTAGAGATCTGATCCGTGGATCCCCAGCAATCCATGATGAAGGATTGATTGTGTGATCAATGAGACATTGTATTAAGAAGTCCTCTAGTTATTATAATCTTATTGTAATCTTTAAATCCTTCAATTTTCCCTTAGATTCATATTTCCTTTTGCATTATTGTTATCAAATATTTAGGGTCCCAACCACAACTATTTTGTATTTACTGCACTTGCACATGCTTTCATGAATGTCAGTACAATCCCTTCCTCGATAGAATGTAGGCTTCTTAAGGGTCAGGGAGAATGATCAGACTTGTGATGTCATTGGTATCGGGAGCCATGTGGGTACCTTTTCTATAATGTTAAGTCTTGGAGTCTTGTAACTTGAGTCTTAGAGAGTTGCCCCGAGAAATTGAGTGACTGGCCCAGAGCCACAAAGCCAGAAGGTGTCAGAGATGGGATTTAAATAGCAGTCTTCTTGACTCCAAGGCTAGCTCTTTGCCTAGTGCATGATCCTAACCAGTATAGTGGAAAGACCACTGGGGGATCTCATTAATTACTAATTAATTTGACCTAGGTCCAAATATTGGCCCTGCTACTTACTGAATGTCTTTGGGAAAGTCATTTCCCTTTTGTAAGCCTTGGTTTCTTCATTTGTGAAATAACAAAGTTAGGCTACATCAACAAGCATCAATAAATCAACAATATTTATTAAATACCTACTATGTGACTAATATCGCACTAGATGATTGGAATACAAATATAAAGAATGAACCAATCCCTACCCACAAAGAGCTTTCATTCTAATAGAATGATGATCTTCAAAGGTCCTTCCAACTCCTAAATCCTATTATCCTATAACTTAGAAGGTGAGCTATGTTATAGTCATCAATTTTTGATTTAATGTCCCATGAGTCAGAGAAGCAATGTGGAGTAATGAATAGCAAGATGACCTCAGAATGGAGGAGAGTTGGGTTAAAGTCCTGCCACTAACACATACGGGTCGTGTGATCATGGACTGGTTACTTAATCTCCCTTTGCCTCAGGAAATGTTCCAAGACTATGAACTGCAAAATAAATGCAGATATTCAATCACAGAAGAAGTTGCCTCACTTGGTTTCACACACCAATGAAATCATAGATCCTGACTAATAATTTTTTTAACGTTATTCAGGACTTGTCCATTCCTACTTATATGAGTGGCTAGGTGGTGCAATGGAGAGAGTATTGGACTAAATAACAATGAAGATCTAACTTGGAATTCTGCCTTGGATACTTAGGAGCTGCGTTAGAAAGTTCCTTAGTCTCAGTTTTCTCATCTGTAAAATGGATATGGTTTTAAGCATCTCTCTCACAGGGTTGTTGTGAGGATCAAATAAGATAAGCCCTGTGAACACTTTGGTGAGCCTTAAAGTGCTGTATAAATGCGAGCTTTATTTATCATCTCTAAAAAGGGAGAGTAGTAAGATTTTTTTTTGTTTCATTTTTTTCCCTCAAAGGCAGTGTCATTTTTCTAATGTGAAAACCTGAAATTTTAGATGGATGTTTTAGACGACATAAAATACAGAATTACAGCATTTAAAGAACTGAAAAGAACTTGGGAACTTTAGAGCTTGCTTATTTAATCCAATTCTTAGCCGTCTGTTTTGGAAGCCTGAGGTATAGCTCAGTAGAGGGTCCATACAGGCTGGAAACACCACTCTCTGTCCCAACTTTCCTTCCCTTATTCTCTGCCTTCATTACTTCCACTTCTTTTCTCACTAGCTTCTCAATCCTTTGCAATATGGTTTCTGGCCTTCTTGTTCAACTGAAACTGTTGCTGAGTTTCAGGTAACATTACTAATGAGTTCTTCATTACCAACTCTGTTGACCTTTCCCAACCCTCATTCTTCTCAACTTGTTTGTGGCATTTGGCATGACCTCCTCCTGGATAGTGTCACTTTTCTGAGTTTTTGCAAAACTGCTCTTTTGATTCCTCCCCTTCTTGTCTGGCCTTTCTTTCTCAGTCTCCATCCTCTCTTCCGCAGCTCCTTGGACCTTCTTATCTTTTCTCTCTACACTTTCTCACACAGTGACCTCATCAGCTCCCACTGGGTGAATAATCAGTTCTATGCAAAAAAACAAAAACAAAAAAACAAAAACCCAGACCTACATCTCCAACCCCAGTCTCTCTCGTAAATTCCCATCCCACATCACAAATTGCCTGGCAAGCGATTTGAAATTTGCTATAGGCATCTCAAACTCAACATGTCTAGAACAGAGCTTATTTTTCTCCCCAAACTCATCCCTCTTCCAAATTCTTCCTCAATCTTTAAAGGGTATCAGCATTTTCCTAACCTCTCAGGTTCTCAGCCTCAGTGTTATTCTTAACTCCTCACTCTCATTCTTCCTCTATTCACACACATAGAGACATTTAATAACCAAATCTTGTTATTTCTATCTTCCCAACATCTCTTGATTCGAACCGTACCAATACACACCCTTATGACTACTGCCCTAGTTTGGCTTCTCATTACTTCTTGCCCAGACTATTGAAACAGCCTCCTAATTTTCTCCCTGTCTCAAAGCTCTATTTTGCCAATCCATCCTTCACAAAGCTACCAAAACGATTTTCCTAAAATAGAGGTCTGACCATGGCACTTGCCTACTTAATAAACTCCAGGTTCTCCTTAGACAAAACATTGTCTAGGATCAAATATGAACTCTTCTGATTGGCATTCAAAGGCCTTCACAACCTGGTTTCAACCTACCCTTCCATCCTTATTATACACTACGCCCCTTCCTACACTCTGTTGGCCAGTCAAACTAGCTTTTCTGGTGTTCCCCACATGCGATATTCTATTTTACATCTCTGTGCCTTCCCATTGACTTACCCCCATTCTTGGGATACACTACCTCTTCACTTCCAGGAATCACTGGTTTCCTTCAAAACTCAGCTCAAGAAACATCATCTACAGGAAGTCTCTCCTAATCCTGCTCTCCCTTCCCAGCTCCTAGTGTTGACTCATATTTATTCTGTATCTATTTATTCTGTACATTCTCATTCATGTACATTTTGTCTCCCCCAGTAGAATTGACCTCTGTGAGGGTAGATACTATTTCATGTTTGCTTTTCTATTTCCAGCACCTAGTATGGTGTCTGGCACATTGTAGGGGATTAATAAGTGCATGTCAATCAATTTATTGGCTTATGAGGCAGTTCTGCACTGACTTTTGAACCATGGAATTATTTGTACTGTCTTTCTCTCCCTCCTACAAAGTGCCAGCATACATCTCACTCCTGTCGAATGCCAACCAGTGGTAGAATCTTGATCAGGGCTATCTCAGGAATTTTTACATACACAGAGCTCTTATTTTTCTTCCCCATAACCATCTGTGTCTCTGAAACACAATATTCATTTCACAACACTTCCTGTATGCCCCTTTAAGTGATTAAAGAAACATCTCTGTATTATTGAAAGTGATGCCAAACTAAACAGTTTCCCCTTCTTTCATGTCTCAATGTGTATCTTAGGGCTAAGTGCTGCACTATTTTACAAGCAGAGATGTTCTGGCTTCTGCATGCATAGCAGCTTGGCCAAAGGTTCTATCCTGCTTCTTTAGCAGCTATTAATAATGGAGTATATGTTCTGCTCTTCTGGCAGTGACTAAAACGTAGGTGGGGGGGGGCAGAGCAGGAGGAGGGTAGAGAGAAGACCAGCTTCATGCAGAATGGGTTTTTGCCTTTGTGATATGATTGGAAGTCCCCCTACCCCTGACATATCTTGCTTTACCACTTTCCACTATTTCTGAAATATTGTTATTAACAACTCCTTTCAAAATAGACCTAGGAGAGAATAACAGCATTTAGTTGTTATCCATCACTTCTACTTTACTATAAATTATAATTATATCCCTTGAACTCACGCCCTGTGAAGCAGCTTAGATGAGAACAGGGACGGGGAAGAATGGGAGTTTTGCAAGGATACAAGGAGAGAGTGGACTGCATCCCCCGTCTAGCTCTACCCGTGTCACTTCAGAAATACCATTTACAGACCTTGGGGGCAGCTCGGTGGCGCAGTGGATAGAGCATTGGCCCTGGAGTCAGGAGGACCTGAGTTCAAATCTGGCCTCAGACATATAACACTTACTAGCTATGTGACTCTGGGCAATTCACTTAATCCCAATTACCTCACCAAATACATATATGCATGTGTGTGTGTGTGTGTGTGTGTGTGTGTGTGTGTGTGTGTGTATACCCCTCAAAGTTCAGCCCCTCCTGCTCAAGAACCTGCCCCTACCCACCTCATCAGAATAATTGTGTGTGTATGTATGTATGTACATATCATAGCCAGACATGGGGAGACATAAGACTTCCTTGTATATTTTGGCTTACAGAACAGAGCACAAATCACTCCCTTGAAAGAGGCATTTGTCCTGGAGAATCTTATTTGAATCACAGATTTCATTAAGCAACATTGCCCATTTTCTTAAGTCTCAGTAAGCTGCTTCCGACTCCATCAGAGGGGTTCTGCAACAGCAAGATTTGTTGCATTCGCATTTGAAGGATTTACTGGTCTGAGATTCTTTTTTCCATTTGCTCTTGCCCTACTTACATCACTAGAATGGAATACAGATAAATAATACTGTCTGTGCTAAAATGTTGTATAAACGTGAGCCTACGTTTCTGCTGAACTGGCCTACCCTGCCATGTTGTTCCTTCATCTCCTGTCTTTATGCCTTCATACTGGCTGTTTCCCTTGCCGGAAATATTCTCTGTCTTTACCTAGCTCCCTGCAGGGTTCGGCCCAAATGCCACCTCCCTTAGGAGGCATCCCCTGATTCTCTCCCTCACCAGTATTCATCCCAAAATTATTTTCATTTTTAATATATATTCTGTATTTACTTATTCTATGCATGGTGTTTCCCCTCCAACAAGATGTAAGCTTCTTTAGCATTGGGACTATTTTCATTTTTTGTCTGTTTTTTTTTTTCTCAAGGACCTAGAACACTGCAGGTAATTAAGAAATGATTGTTGAATTGGATTGAATGCTGAATTTGGATACAGGCAGACCTAGGTTCAGAAATATCATTTACAGACCTCTTGGGTCCATGACACTTGATAGCTGTGAGACTATACAAGCAATTCACCTCCCTCTCTCAACCACAGATAACTTCCTTTTTTTTTTTTTGGTTTTGTTTTGTTTTGGTGATGCAATGGTGACTTGCCCAAGGTCCCACATCCAGTAAATGTCAAGTGTGTGAGGCTATATTTGAAGTCAGGTCTTCCTGAATCCAGGGCCACTATGCCATGTAGCTCTACCCACAGATAACTTTCTTTAAAAAAAAAAAAAGAAAGAAAGAAAGAAAGAAAAGAAAAATCCAATTTTTAAGACCATATCTTTCCATCTTGCCCAGGCTGGAAATACAAGGGATACTCAGGGGCCCCATCCCACCCTGACTGGCACAAAAGCTTGGACCTGCTTTCTTTCCAATCAAACAACTTTCTAAGGCATTAAGTTATAGATTGGGAGAGAATTCCTACTCTAAGGAAACCATGGACCTTTGATCCATTAACGTATTTGTTGTTATAACATAGCTTCCTTATTTCTTCCTATGCCTCCTCTCATGTCCTCAACCCAACCAACCTGCTAAGTTCTACCCTATCTTGTTTCTATAAGTTTAAACTGTTTGCCCATGTTCTTACTGAGAGGCAGAAGAGGAACATCTTAATATTTTTTTGGATTCTATTTTTATTGCAACATTCCAACCATTCTGAAATCTCAAGATGGTGTTTCTGGTTCAGGGAGGTGCTTCCCCAAAGGCTTATGTCTGGATTTCTGCAAGCATTTTATTACCTGAACTCTGGCTTCAGTGAGGTTAACTCTGCGGGCAAGGTCTTCCCGTACAAAAGCATCAGGGTAGTGTGTCCTCTCAAAGACTCTTTCTAATGCCTGCAACTGACTGCTATTGAAGGTGGTCCTATTTCGTCTCTGCTTTCTCTTCTTCTTCTCCTCTGAGTTCAGCTGATCATCTGTAAGAGAAAAGAATGAAGGATGGTAAAGACTCTGATGGTTTCTCTTTATACTTCTAATCCAGCAAACATGTACTAAATGTCTACTATAAACAAGGCACTCTGCTAGGCATGGAGAATACAAAGATAAACAAAAACAAAAATGCCACTATCCTCAAGTCAATTACATTCTACTATCATCATTCTCCTGCTCCATTTTTCTGCTTTGGTACCTCACTTGAGCCACACAATAACCCTATGAAGTGGCTGTTTTTCTCCCCATTCTACAGCCAAAGAAACTGAGACTAAGAAAGTTTAAATGATTTGACATACTGAGATGCAGCCCTGATCTACTTTCTAGCCTTCCATAACCCTATGTGGACAGCAAGGATTCACTGACACTGCTCAGTTATGTATAGAAACTTGGGGCTGTCTGTAGTCAGAAGGCCTTGGGTTGATGATCTAAGAGCCCTCTTTGGGAGAAAAAGGATGAGACATCTTAACTTCCCAAGAATAGAGAAGGCAACAAAGACGGGAATGTTGTCATTGAGTCACTCAGTTGTGTCTGACTCTTCATAGCCTCATAGACCATAGCATGCCAGGCCCTTCTATATCTTCCACGATCTCTTGAAGTCTGTCCAAGTTTGTGTTCATTGTTTCCATGACATTATCTATCCATCTCATCCTCTTTTGTCTCCTTTTCCTTTTTCCTTTAATCTTTCCTAACATCAGGGTCTTTTCTAATGAGTCCCATCTTCTCATTTTGCCACCGAAGTATTTAAACTTCAGCTTCAGTATTTGAACTTCCAGTGAATATGCTGAATTAATTTCTTAAGTATTGACTGATTTGATCTCTTACTGTTCGAGAGACCCTCAGAAAACCTCTCCAGCACCACAATTTCAAAGCATGGATTCTGCAGTGCTCAGCTTTCCTTACAATCCAACTCTCACAGCCACACATTGCTACTAGAAAAACCAAAAAGGGCCAGGGTCTCCCATTGCATCCTGAGCCACCTCCAGTCATCCTGATGAATATCTGGCCACTGGACCCAGACAGGTCAGGAGGAGAAAGTGAGACTGGTGACTTTGCATAGCCCTCCCTCACTCAGATCAAAGTCAATTGCAAGTCATGTCATCATCTCCCTGATGTCATGATCCTCAACAAGAATGAAGGACAAAACACAACCAGAAAAAACCATAGCTGTAACTATATGAACCTTTGTTGGCAAGGTGATATATCTGTTTTTTAGTATGCCATCCAGATTTGCTATAGCTTTCCTTCTAGGGAACAAGCATCTTTTTATTTCATGGCTGCAGTCACTATCTGTAAAATCTTTGAGCCCAAGATTATAAAATCTGACACTGCTTCCAATTCTTTTCTCTCTATTTGCCAGGAAGTGATGGGATCAGTTGCCCAGATCTGTGTGTGTGTGTGTGTGTGTGTGTGTGTGTGTGTGTGTATAAACATGTTATATATATATATATATATATATATATATATATATGCATATATATACACATATATATGTATATATATATATAGCTTCAAGCCAGCTTTTACACTCCCCTCTTTCAAACTCATCAAGAGGCTTCTTAATTCTTCTTCATTTTCTCCCATCAAAGTGGTATCATCTGCATATATGAGATTGCTGCTATTTCTTGTGGAGACCTTAATTCCAGCTTTAGATTCATCCAGCATGGCATTTCACATGATGAACTCTGCATATAAGTTAAATAAATAAGGTAACAACATACAACCTTGTTGTACTCCTTTTCCAATCTTAAACCAATCAGTTGTTCTATGTTCAGTACTAACATTCACTTCTTGGTCCTCAGAAGACAGCAAAGATGATCTGGTACTCCCATCTCTTTGAGGACTTGCAACATTTTGCTGTGATTTTCACAATAAAAGACTTTAGTATAGACAATAAAGTGGAAGGAGGTGTTCATCTGGAACTCTTTGGCTTTCTCCATTATCCAGTGAATGTTGGCAATTTGGTCTCTAGTTCCTATACATCTTTGATTTTTTGGTTTGTTTTTTTTTCCATTTGGCTAGGCAATGGGGTTAAGTGACTTGCCCAGGGTCACACAGCTAGTATGTGTTATGTGTCTGGGGCTGGATTTGAACTCAGGTCCTCCTGAATCCAGGACCGGTGCTCTATCCACTATGCCATCTAGCTGCCTCCCTACACATGTTTGAAAACTAGACTGCTCTTCTACTAATTCTTGGTTCACATATTTCTGAAGCCTACCTTGCAGAATCTTAAGCTGGCATGTAAAATGAGTCAATTTTTCAGTAACTTGAATATTCTTTTGCATTGCCCTTCTTTAGGATTAGAACATAAACTGATCTTTTCCAATCCAGTGGCCACTGTTGAGTTCTCCAAATTTGCTGGTATATTGGGTGTAACACTTTAACAGCATCATCTTTTAGGATTTTAAATAGCTCATCTGGAATTCCATCACCTCCACTAACTTTTTATTGTTAGCAATACTTCTTAAAGCCCACTTGACTTCATTCTCCAGGACAGACATCCTAGATCAGTAAACACACCATGGAGGTTATCAGTGATGCTAAGATCTTTCTTGTATTGTTCTTCTGTTTTGCCACCTCTTCTTAATCTCTTCTCCTGTTAAGTCCCTACCATTTTTGTCTTTTATCATGTCCATTTTTTCATGAAACATTCCCTTGATATCTCAAATTTTCTTGAAGAGATCTCTTATCTTTCCCATTCTATTGTTTTCTTCTGTTTCTTTGCATTGCTCATTTAAGCAAACCTTCTTATCTCTCATTATTCTCTAGAATTCTGCCTTCACTTTCTCCTTTCCCTTTTGCTTTCCTTCTTTCCTCAGCTGTTTGTAAAGCCTTATCAGACAGCATTTTGCTTTCTTGCTCTTCTTCTTTGGAATGTTTTATTATCATTGTTGTTGCTGCCTCTTATACAATATTAGAACTTCTGTCCATAGTTCTTCAAGCACTCTATTTGCCATATTTAATCCCTTGAATCTATTCATCACTTCCATTTCATATTCACAAGGCATGTTGTTTAGGTCATACTTATATGGTCTGATGGTTTCCTCCACTTTCTTTAATTTAAGCCTGAATTTTGCACTAAGAAGCCCATGATCTGATCCACAGTCAGCTCCAGGTCTCATTTGAACTAACTGTATAGCAGCTTCTCTGCCTTTGGCTGCAAAGTATATAATTAACCTGATGTCTATATTGACCATCTGGTGATGTCCATGTATAGAGCTGTTGAAAAAGAGTGTTTGTTATGATCAGTGAATTATCTTAACAAAATTCTATTAGTCTTCACCCTGTTTCATTTTGTACTCAAAGGCTAAACATGTTCATTATTTCAATTACCTTTCGATTTCCTACTTTAGCATTCCAATCCCCTATGATGAATGGGACATTTTTTTTATCATTGTTATTTCTAGAAGATGTTGTAGGTCTTTGCATAATTGATCAAGTTTGGCCTCATGAGCATCAGTGGTTGGAGCACAGACTTGCATTGCTATGGTGTTGAACAGTTTGTCTTTGATTTGAATAGATATCATTGTCATTTTTGAGATTATACCCCAGCATAGCTGAGGTAGAGCCTGAACGAACCAGGAAGCCCTGTAACACATGTGTTTTCATCTATGTGATTCAGAATCCTGGCAGATTCAACCTGACCTTCTATGGTAGAGAAGGAAGCTAGGGGAAAAAAATTGTTCCCCCTGGGAATTTTCTTTAGTTTTTATCCTGTAGCCTCTTGGAAGTAGCATGGGACCCGCACTTTTCAATGGCCAAGGCTCCCATCCAAGATCCATGCTACTGAAGCAGTAACTAAATGTCCTTAAAACAGATAAGAAATAGGTACCCCTTGACTAGAGAACAGTTGAATAAATTGTAGCTTATGAACATAATGGAATATTACAGCAACATAAGAAATGATGAGAGAGACAACATGATGCAGTTGATAAAAAGCCAGCTTTAGAATCAAGAAGACCTGTATTCGAGCCTTGGTGATGTCTTGCTGACTTCTGTGAAGATAAATTGATGGACGAGGTTTTTCTATACAAAAGAACACTAGCTAGGTGACCCTGGGAAAGTCACTTAACCTCTTGGTCCTCTAAGCAGCTCTCTAAGACTGTCAGTTAAAAGATGAGTTTGGTGCATGAAGGTGGAGGGGGGTGGGGAATCCATACTAGTATCTCCCCACATTAAGAAAGTACAGAAATCACACCTCTACCCCACCTTCCACCCCTTACAATAATAAAAGAAACAATGAGTACGAGGAATTGAAAAGCATGGGAACACTTAAATGGTGTAGAGTGAAGAAATAAAAACTAAGTGAACACTATCTACAACCACCGTAATAATGGTTAACAGACGTGATCAGAAGAACCCCAGATCTACTGGGCCAGGGTACCACCCACAGGGTCAAAGCTTGAATGTCCCCCTCAATGGGAGCAGATCAAAGGCTCCCCTGCTTTTCTCTATGACAATATTTGTCATTCAGTCATTTTTCAGTCATATCTGATTCTTCGTGACCCCATTTTTTGAGTTTTCTTGGCACTGTGACAACATAAGCAATAACAATACTGTAAGACAAACTAATTTGGTCAGAATTAACAATGAACAATCTTGATCCTAAAAAAACTGATGATGAAACATTCCTTCCTCCTCTCAGTAGAGAGATGAGGGACCTTGGATGTGGAATTTCTATATGATATCAATGGTCACAGTACCAGATTTGCTGAAAGGTTTTTTCTTTGTTACAAGAAAGGATTCAACAAAGGGATTTTTTAAGGAGAAATGAAATGACTTCAAAACAAAAGGCAACAATAGAACTTTAAAATGACAAAAACAGATTGGAGTTACCAAAGATACACCATCGACATCAAGCTAAGCTAACTCTGCATCTGGGAGACTCTAAGACTCCCCAGAAAAAGGGAGTAGAACTGATAGACCTCCTGTAAAAGGTCTCCCCAAAATAGGACTCTGAGAGTGTGAAGCCTGAGACTTTCCCAAG